CCGGTCGTCGAAGAGGCCCCAGTCGAGGGCGAGGTGGGCCAGCAGCAGCCCGGCCTCGGCGCCGGCGTCGGCGGATTTGGCGGGGTGGTGGGCGGTCCCGCTGGCGCCCGCGCCCGCGGCGGGAAAGGCCCCCGCCGCGAGCTGCGATTTGCCGTGCAGGGAGGGCCGGGACGTCGTCAACCCCACGCGGCCTTCGGGCCGGGCATCGGGCAACCCGGGCGCCACCCGGGCCCCTGGGAGAAGGTTCTCGGTTAGGCCAGAATGGCTAATCCCCATCGTTCGGCGACCAGGATGGGAGGAAATGGTGCGTCGCCTGGGGTTCTAATGGACTATTATAGTTAGTTTTACGTATAGATGTAAAATCTTGGATTATCGGCACCTATATTTATATCCATATGAAAATGGATATACTATGATCAATCACAGATATGTAAGTTCGTCACAAAACCTACTTCAGTGTAGAGAAATAATACAATGTTACATACACCAGCACAAGACAAATAAAAGGAAAAAATGTCTTATCCAAAGCTTCTTAAAGATAAACGCCAAGAAACAATGCTTAAAAAGAGGAATACTAAATCCAAATTATTTGTTTCTGGGGTATTTGTTATGAGTAAAAGAAAAAAGGAAAATGAAAACTTATTGAGAAGTCTTGGTTATTTATGTATTTGGATCGACTAAATCAATTTTTTTCCTTTTTTCAGATACTTTTGATAGTGTGTGTGTGTGTGTGTGTGTAAAAGGATTAAAAAGAAAGAGAATGACGCGGCAAGTGAAACAAACACCCCCTTGTAGTTCAGAGGAAACGTAAGTAAACGCACAGCAGGGACAATCCTGAAAAGGTAATCCTACCAAAAGTAAAAACCCATGACACCACACCAAACCCGCCTTTCTGAAGTTTTTCTCCCCCAATCCTTATTCCACAGCTCTAAAAAACAGTACCCAGCGGTAGCGATCCGATAAGAACCGATAAAAGATAAAAGCGCCCTCCGCGAGAGGATCCCCTTGCGGATGGGGTTGGCCGCCGTCGCGCGCGCTACGCCCCCTGCGGATCCGGCCCCGGGGCGTCCTTGCGGCGTGCGCGGGCGACCTTTCGCGGGGTGTTGGGGGCCTCGAAGACCGGCGGGGCCGCCGACTTCGCCGTGGCCCCGGCCCCGG